GGTCTCAATCTTGCACAGGCTAGTCTCAAACTCCTGAGCTCAAGGGATCCTCCTGCCTCAGCCTCCTAGAGAACTAGAATTACAATATGCCCCAGCCTTTTTTTTTTTTTTAAGACAGAGCCTCAAGCTGTCCCCCTGGTAGAGTGCTGTGGCATCACAGCTCACAGCAACCTCCAACTCCTGGGCTCAAGCGAGTCTCTTGCCTCAGCCTCCCAAGTAGCTGGGACCACAGGCGTCCACCACAACACCTGGCTATTTTTTTGGTTGCAGCCATCATTGTTGATTGGCAGGCCCACGGGCTGGATTTGAACCTGCCACCTTAGGTGTATGTGGCTGGTGCCTTAGCCACTTGAGCCACAGGTGCCGAGCCATATGCCCTAGCCTTAATGCAGCTTTTGGCTAACAAAAAGGAAAGTATTTGTAATTATATATGTAGTGAGATTCTCAAGGTGTGAGAAGTTCTAAAATAGAGATATATTATCTGAGATTCCAAAAGAGGGCAAATTATAAATGAAAAATATACTTCTTAAAGTATATGCTCCCTCCAGCAATGAGTATGGGAAGGGACAGGAAAGTACCTGTGTCTTCCACATTCTATGTTCCATGCCAGGCACTTCACAAATGTTATGTCAATTGTCAAACCAAACTAAGAGGTGGACATTATATCCTCAATAGATAAAGATGCCAAAGTTCCAAGAATTGTGCATTTTCCCAAGACCCCAGAACCAAACGGTGCTGGAGCCAGGAGTCTACCTCCACTGCTCCCCCATTTTACCCTCAGCCTAAGGGTTATCATCTCCCATACTACTGGGCCAACCAGCCATCCTTTTGGGAAGAAGAGCATAGAGCTTGTCTGTTCTTTTCAAGTCATCTACTTAGGCTCTGGGAATAACTTAGCCTCCATAGGCAATGCCTATCTACCACCAAGTCCAGGACTCTGGCCTATGGTCCCTTCAGTAGTGCAGCAGCCAGGACTGGAATTCAGGGTTGGCTCACACAGATTTGGCTCTCCCAAGGAATCTATACAAACTCTGGGGATCTAGTGAGCCAGGCAAATGGTCAGGAAGAAGGAGACAGGGCTCTGCCAGGCTTGCCTAGCACTGAACCCCTCTGGGAACCCTCCATGGCCCTTGGACATTCTGTTCTAGGGCCATCATTTCCTGTCCTGGATTTGGCAATCCTGCCCCTGGACTAAGATTCCACCTCGTCCTACACGCAAGGAGTGGGGCTGGGTCTGTGCTCAGAGTATTGGCCTGATGCATTATTCTGGGACAGGAATCTATTGGTGACTCTTTCCTGGCAAGTTCCTTGAGGGGGATCCCAGCTCCCTCTCCCAACTGTGCACACACTTGTAAAGCAAATCTTCTGCTCCATGCATGGCCCAGGACAGGGTTGGTTGAAAGGTAGCAATTGCATCTACATACTTTCTCTGACTACCTCCACCCTTGTCAGAGTTGGGCTCCCTCAGCACTCTGTGACTTCCTCTCTCATAGCACTCAGCATGTGGGACTGCCCACATCTCCCAACTGCTGTAAGTGCGTAGAGGGCTCGGACTGGTCTTATCTTAGCGTCACTATTAGCAGCCAGTCTAGCATTCAACAAACATTTCTAGAGTGCCTCCTGTGTGCAAGGCACTGTTCAAGGCACTGGAAATGAACAAAGGTACCTGGCCCCTGGCACTCACATTCCATATGAAAGACAGGCAATAAACATGACAACTATGGAACATAATCTCCGGTTGCAGCAAATGCCCTGAAAAAGTATAAAGCAAGATAAGAAGATAGAGAGCTGGTGGACAACTGTTTTAGGGAGAGTAGTCAAGGAAGGCTTCTCCGAGGAGGTAACAGTTGAACCAAGACCAGAATCCAAAAGAGGGCCGTGGGCCAAATGCAGGGGCTCACACCTGATAATCCTAGTACTTGGGAGGCTGAGGCACGAGGATCATTTGAGACTTGGAGCTCAAGACCAGCCTGAATACCATAGCAAGACCTTCCCATTTCTAGAAAAAGAAGGCAGGCATGGTGGCACACACCTGTACTCCTAGCTACTCAGGAGGCTGAGGCAGGAGGGTCACTGAGCCCAGGACTTTGACGTTGCAATGAGCCATAATGGCACCACTGCACCCTAGCCTGTGTGACAGAGTGAGACCCTGTCTCAGAAAAAAAATAAAAATGCAGTTATCTGGAGGAGGAGCATCATAGGCAGAGGAAAGAGAAAGTTCAAAGGCTGTAAGATGGGAACTAGAGTGTAGCAGGTGTCCACTAGAGGTCTGTCAAGAGAAGGAACAGATGACTGCAGCAGGAGAGCACAGGACTACAAGTTGAAGAACTAGTACATGGTCCAGCTCTTTACCTCTCACTGAACCTGTTTCCAAATCTTTTTTTTTTTTTTTTTTTTTTTTTTGACAGAGCCTCAAGCTGTCCCCCTGGGTAGAGTGCCGTGGCAT